ATGTACGACTGGGAGGCAGTCATCGACGGAACACCCCTCGACCTTGAATACGTTCCCCTTCTCCACTCCAACCAGCAGTGGTGCACTGAGGGCTGGAACACCAACATCGCCAATGCGAAGAAGAACTACAAGGTTTCGCACGTACTGAGCTTCAACGAGCCCGACCAAGCTGGTGGTGGAGGCTCCAACATCGACGTCGCCACTGCTGCTGCAACCCACAAGAAGTTCATCCAGCCCCTCGCCGCCCAGGGTCTCCGCATCGGCTCTCCTTCCGTCACCAACGCCGACGAGCCCAACAAGGGAATCAACTACCTCAAGCAATTCATGTCTGCCTGCAACGGCTGCCAGATCGACTTTGTCGTCGCCCACTACTACGCCTGGGACAACGCTCAAGACTTCAAGAACTACCTCACCAAGTTCCACAAGACCTTCAACAAGCCCGTCTGGGTTACCGAGTTTGGTGTCACTTCTGGCAACGCCGACGAGTTCCTTAAGCAGGTCCTTCCCTGGATGGATGCTCAGCCCTGGATCGAGCGTTACGCCTACCACATGGTCGCACCTAGCACCGACCAGAAGTACCTCATCTCTGCTGATGGCCAGAGCCTGTCTAGCATTGGCAAGATCTTCGCCACTGCTTAGAAGTTTGCTGTCTTGATAGACGCATCACGAGTTACGACCTTTTTACCTTTTACCTTCTTGATACCACGTTACCTTCTTGTCCATAGACTTTGCTGTGACTTCGGTCTATACCTCAATTTATCATTCATTTACCATCAAATTATTCAACTGTAATATGAGTGAAGGCTATATATACATTAAGAGATTAATTTCTGTACTGATATCTACTACCGTCAACAGCTCTACCATCCAGCTCTGCTACATGATACCGGGCTTCAGGAAGCTCATGAGCGGCTACTGGCAGCTCACTATACGTCGGTAATTTCACATCTGCTGTTTGCGATTCTTGTTCTTGTGCCACCTCCGTTGCAGCGCCAGTTGATCGCCGTCTACGATACAAAAAGAAGCCAATGGCGCCCAGCAAGACAATACCGCCCACTGCACCAGCAGCTATGCCGCCTATCGCGCCACCTGATAATTTCGACGTTTCTTTTAGTGGCGGGGATGTGGCGGAAGACGTGGGCAAGGATGTAGCGCTAGGCGAGCCCCCCTTAGAGTTCGCGCAGAACTCGCTGACCACATTGTTTTGCTTATCGACTGCGACGATGTCGGAAGTCTTTGATCCGGTGTTTGCTTGCCAGACGGAGAACATTCCGGCATCTTGATTGACCATTAGGTAGGCAGAGCTCATGAAAAGGCGGCCAAGGACTGGTAAATCGTTGTCGTTCTCGAATTGAAGAGAGTTGATCACGACGTTGCGGACCGATGTATTCGTCTGAACCGCGCCATCGGAGGCGATATATGTATCGGGAACGACTAGCTCAGTGTTGGGGATCTTTACTGAGATGCTGTTTTGGAGTTGGATCGTTAGACCACCGTAGTAACTACACCTTGAGCGTTAGCTATCTATCTTTGGGAAAGAATTATCATTACACCTACACGTTGTTTGGCTCAAAGAGCATCGTGAAGTAGTTGATACCAAGGCTTCTCGCCTCCGTCTTGTCATCTGGTGGCGTTCCACCGGCGAGCGACCAAAAGTTATTGTAGTAGCTCAGTGGAAGAGACATCAGCCCTGCAAAACTGGGACTAATACATGCTTGCATAGCCGCTGATTGTGAACCCATGAAGACGCTCACATCGGTACCATTGGGCCAGTTGAGAAGGATGTCGCCAATGGTTACTACCATACCCGTTCCACATTTACCGCCATGGTATAGCGAGGCCGTGAAGTTGTCGTTTTCATCCGTGATTAATGATCTGTCCAAGCCACCGAGAACCAGCGAGCCCCGCGTCTGCTTCTCCACAGGGCCACCGACCAGCCCCCAAAACATTGAGTATGCTTTCGTGCCTATATCACCGGCGGATAAGAGTGCGTTCAGGAAGGACGAGTTGCTGCCTAGTCCAAGTTGAGACTGGCTGGTGAAAGCTTGGTTGAGATCCTGTTCCGGAACGCCGAATCCGAATGTAGAAAGCGTGGTGTTATCGCCAAAGCTGAGAGTGTCTTCTATCCAGTCGGCCTTGAAGCCGTCGCTGTCTTTTCGATCACCGATTGACTTGTCCGTAGAAGATTCTGATGCATCGTATGCGCCGCCACGGAATGTCACGCATGCTCTAGATGAGTAGGCCTTTGTGCAACGTCCATCGGTTCCGTAGATGTAGGTCTCGTTGTAATCGCTATCGATTGCCAGTTAGCTATGGGGAATTCTCAAGCTGAGTGATGCAATTAGACTTACCCGCTGGCGAAAAATGAGATGTTCTGGTCATTAGAACCGACTGTCATGGAGATCCCTCTCACGGAGGCCCCGTTGGGTAAAGACACATTCTGGATGGGTGCGACAATAGGCTGTGGCTGACACTGACTTTTCGCAAAGATCGCAAAGTGTAGAATCCCTAGAAATAACGAGAACAGGCCTACCGGGAGACCCATTGCAACGTTTGGTGTTGCAAATTCGGAAGTGACGACGTACGGGAGGACTGGAAAGCTGAAAACAGCGGGAGTAGGGGAACAGCAAGGCTGTAAGGTACTTTCAGGCAGTAGCGCTTAAACGAGTCGTGTAGCATATCTGACCGAATTTGGTGTTGTACTACGCTCAGTTCATGCCCTGCTGCATCGCAATCACATGGGGTTAGCGTACATGTACGTGAGCCTCACAAATTCACCAACCAGCGCGCGCCGCTTAGCGCCGATGGCATAACCGCGCGCAACTCCTTGTACGTGTCTTGATACTAAAGGAGCTGTGCCGCAATGTCGCATCGGTAGATTGCCAGCTGCGACGGAAGATTCCATTTTCTGTCGCATTTCACGATACCTCTGTGTGTGTGCTTCAGACTGCACGGCGCAGTTGCTTTCACGATCCGGTAATCGGCAATCTTTCTACGCGCTCGATATCGCCTGTGCACGCGCTCACAATACTATTTCCCGAACAACTTCTTGGAATCAGCTGTCGCATGCCCGATCTCATTACCTCTCGTGCACTCGACCCACTTGCCATCAAGCGATGATGCGTTCCCGTAGACAAATCGAGTTTTTGGTGTTGGCAGTGTTCCTGCTCTGCTCCTGGTATCTCTTTGACGCCCATTTCAATGTCGCCGAAAGAGGACCGGCCGAGCCGAGCGTTGATGAAAAGCCATGGCGATATGAGGCAACGGAAGCAGAAGAAAAGCAAGAGATATTTGAGCAAGAGAATGCGAATGCAGGCGCGAAAGAGAAAATGCCATCGACTTCCACCACCTCTCAACATATAAGCACATCGACGCAAAGTACTGCTGTCGCGACGCCTACTCCATCCCTACCTGATCGCGTCGTGGTAATGGCAAAGCTTCCCACCGATGAAACAGACTGGGTGCAAACCGATCTACCAGACTGGCAAGCAGCCATTTACGACATCGACACTGAAACTCCACATAACATATCGACCCTAGATCCGATGACTAACAGCACTCTCCGCACCCTCCGGAACAAAGGAATGGAAGCAAATGCGTACCTCGCATACATCGTGCAGAATTACAACAACCTACCCTCAACAATTGCGTTCATTCATCCACACAAGGACGGCTATCCGATTGCATGGCATACCGACAACCAAGAACATTCCAACGTCGTCTCTCTGCAAAGCCTCAACGTCAACTTCATCCAGAGCAACGGCTACGCGAATCTGCGTTGCGTCAACGATCCCGGCTGTCCGCACGAAGTGATGCCGTTCCGAGATCCGCCTGAGGAGCATCGAACGATCGAAGCAGCGATGCCGGACGCGTGGCGAGACCTGTTCAACAATACGGATGTACCACATATACTGGCGACGCCTTGCTGCGCGCAGTTCGCCGTGTCGAGCGAGCAAGTACGAAAGCGGTCGTTGGACCAGTACCAAAGGTATTACACGTGGTTGATGGAAACTCCGCTGAAGGACGAGACAAGCGGAAGGGTGTTCGAGTACCTTTGGCATATTCTGTTTGGGCAGGAGCCCGTTTAGTAAGTACTGAATCGATCGAAGTCTCGTTGCGCCGCTGCTAACGTGAACCAGCTGTCCCGCATATGAGAAGTGCTATTGCGACGTGTATAACAGATGTTGAGCACACACCTTTCCGTGGGTAGTGCAAGAAGAAGTTAAAGTTGACGTGGGATTTCTGGCGGGCAGGCACCAGAGTTCTTCTTCTGGCTTTCGCAGTCGCGTCGCCGAGCCTGCCCGAAGATCCCCCACACCAGCTGTCTAGACTGAAGATCACGATACCAACATGAGCCGCGACATGTCCAGTCAAGTTCCTGATACAGCGCTCTGTGCAAAAATAGACACTCAAGGCGACGCCGTGACAGCTTCACGCCCCGTCATGGAGCGTCGTTTCCTTCCCCACCGTGGGCAAAAAGAATGGCAAAAACATACAACAGCGCGTATTCCCTGGTGGTCACCCACCCAGGTACTAATGCGCCGGTATCTTGCTTAAGTACCGCTGAGCAGACGGGAAGCGCTGAGTTCAAGATCCTATGGTCGTATGTGAAGGTTTTGGTTGTCAAATTGGGTTATAATGAGAAGAATTGGGTGCGGTTGACATTTTTGCTCCAGGAGACCACATACACCGGGCTGCAGAGGGCGGCACCCGCTGTTTGCTTGCTGCGACTGAGTCAGAGAGAGAGAATAGGAAACATGGTAGAGGAGGTGCGAAAGAGATGTCACGTTTCACTCATTGAGATGATCACCATAGGGAGTGGGCAACAAGTTTCCATTCATCCAACTATCAAGATCCTGGTGATCCAAGCTTGCGTCGTGGAGCCGCCCTCCCGTAGTTGTCCAGCATCCTTATCCCATTGTATTATGAGACAAGAGCGATCGTGTATTCTCCAACCCGATTTTCCGCGCGCATAGAGCGTCGTACCGGCATCAACGCGATCAAGCCGGAGGTGCTGGGTGATCGTGATACCTTGAACATATCAAAGGCTTGATGTATGTAACCCAGTTGTTCTTGTTGTAAGACAAGGTTCCGTAACCTGCCGATGACGGAATGGGAGTCGATCCAAGAGCCACGAATGCTACGACAATCTCGGCAAGGAACTCTTGGGGCCATCGTAGCAACTCATGTTCTCGCTGGCTCGGGTCTGAAAGCCTCTCGAATCGATAAGTTTCGACGGCGTCATCCACAAGAAATTTACGAAGAGCTGATCCTGGAAGGGTGTTTTGGTACACATAGGGAGCTTCGGCGAGCGGGACTCTCCACTCCTGATGTGTCTTCTGAAGAAGCACGTCGATTGCGGTGTTGCAGAGATCAGGACTTCCGCGTGCATCGCCAAAAACAAAGATCTCGCAAATGAGCATCTGACTCAGAGGGATTTTCCCTGAAGCGTCGAGCGCGAAGTAGAGCTTTCCCGTGTGGATCCAATGGAAGAAGGCTTTGAAGACCTCCGGATTGTCTTCCTTCAGTTCGACGGTTTTAGAAGCCCCTTCTCTCCATTCGTCTTTTAGGGCAGCTTTGAAGTAGGTGGAGTAGTGGGCAAGAAGGCCTTTGTAGGTGTAGAATTTGCGCATCTCCTCACCGGAACCGACCACAACGGTAATCATGTCGCCATATTCATCTCTATTCAGTGCGTCAGCGAATTTCTTGTATATAGCCTCGCTTGTGCTTACGGGTCAGGTGAGGGAGTAGTTTTGGAGCATTTGGGCAGCTCGAGCAATGGAGTGACCTTTTTGGGCTTCTCCTTCTTCTCTGTAGTCGCCATCGCTTGCGATTGTGGTTGCTGTGACAGGTATCTCAATGAGTAGTTGTACTGATGTGCCGGTGACTGCGGAAAGTACTGGGCCTAGTAGCGCGGTCTTGTCAGTGAGCGGTTAAGGCAGGAGCAACGGTCAGGGTCCAGCAGGCGGTGACGACCCGGGTTGACTAGAGATGACCGTCTGTGTTTCGCTTTGAAGTATACATATCGCTAACAGTTGGAACTTACTCACCGTCCGGACCGATGTAGTCCTCAAGGTTCACTCTAAGTGGCGGGCTCTGGATTTCACCCTTTGACATCCGCAGCGGTCCTTACACAGCATAGCCTCTTTCTCTTTTGTCGGATTGCTTAAATAAGTGAAGGAAGGACTCCGTAGCTTCGGGTTCGTAACCCCATTGTTCATGCTGGCAACATGACCAATGAACTCTCGCGCCAGACATACCTACCCTTTCACTATAGTTGCAGTACTTCTTTGATGTGATTGTACACTAATCTCATTTCTCTTTCTCCCTATCGGAGAAAACGCCAGACCATGCAAATGCTACTCGCTCTTTCTACGATTGTACAACTACTAATACATGATTTTTCCTGTTTCCAACACACTCGCTAAACCCCAAAGTCGCTCAATAGAAAGAATTGCGTATTACTAGTATTTCTTCTTTCTGTGCCGCACATGAGGATCCTGTCCCTTTCGGTTCCTCTTCTGCCGGTCCGTTGGCGGCCGGTACGGTTCTTTGCCATACTCTTCTCGGTACAGGCTAAGCATGTACTCGTCGACGTGCCTCCGCTCCTTCTCGTTGCCGTCGATGTCGAGGTCTTCGTTCGCTTTGGCGGCAGCAGCGGCTTCCGAGGCGGCTCTCGTGGCGTTCAGACTCTCGTTGAAGTCGACCTGATCTTCTTGAATCTCATCGACAATTTCCTTCTGTGCGATGGAAGCAGCCGTGCGATCCTCGGTATCCTCCACTGTACCCATGACACGCGCGTCACCTAACAGTCCAATCTTCTCGCCGAGCACACGTTCCATGGCTGCACCCGCTTCGTCGTTCGTGTCGATTCCCAGGTTCTCATCGAGTGCGTCGCGCCAGGTGACTTTGTTGAAGGTGTCTGTGGTGAAGTCACCCTTTTGGATAATGACGTCGTCGAGCAGACGTTTCTGGTTCGACTTGCGGAGGATGTTGGCTTCGATGGTGTATTCGCTGACGAACTTGTAGATGTGCACATCGCGCGTTTGACCGATACGATGGGCTCGGTCTTGACACTGCTTGTCCATCGCGGGGTTCCAATCAAGGTCATAGAAGATGACGCTGTCAGCACCCGTGAGATTGATACCAAGACCACCGGATCGAGATGACAGGATGAAACATAAGATGCGGGGGTCACTGTTGAAGCGATCAGTAAGGATCTGACGCTGTTCGATCTTGGTAGATCCGTCGAGGCGTAGGTAGCGATATCCATGAATGTTCAAGAACTGCTCGAGAATATCGAGAACCTTTGTCATCTGGGTGAAGATGAGCGCACGGTGACCACCAGCCTGTAGGTCTCGTAGGAGTGTTGCAAGACGTTGGAGCTTGCCACAGTCGTATTGAAGGAGACGCTTGTCTGGGAAGGCGATCGATTGTCGGATGCGCGAAGAATGGAAGGGGTCTTTTTGGTGAGCTGCCTCCGACGATCGAATCAGCTGGACACCGCGCCTGGACAGGGTCAGAGGTGCTAATTCCTCGGCTGCAACGGCAGGCGTAACACATGTGAAGCGGGTAATGAGAGGCTCCATAGCCTCAGCACGCTGCTCCAATGTTGGGATCATATCATAGAAATGGGTGATTTGTTGATCGTGCCAGTGAGACAAGACACGATGAGAGCGCGGTGACCTGAATCCGAGTAGACCATGGTGCCGTTGAACGACGTCATAGTGAATCGCTTCCTCTTGTCTTGGCTGCATCTGAGCCTGACCGAAGCCATGATAGTTAGGATGTGGTGTGTGATGCGTTCGGTAGAGGAGAGGCTTAGCCACTCTCTTCCCTTCAGTGATAGCCCCAAACGTAAAATCGTGCCAATCGACGGTCAGTGCGTCAATGATATCCTTTCCGTAGATCGGCATGAACTGGGTGCGCGCGCGAGTAAGACTAAGACATGTTTGCAAATGGTCCCGAACGGCCACTTGCTCTTGCTTCGCCATCGCTGCCATAGTCGCTTGTAGTGAAGAAGTGCCCTTGTCGATGGGTTTGTTGATGCGCCGTGTTTGGCGCTCGATCAGATCCTCCAGGGGCCGTGTGGCGCGGATAGGGTAGGTGCGTCTAGCATGACCCAACTGCGTCTGTTCCCGTCGCGCAAACACCAAGTTCAAGGCGTCTAGATTTACTTGCTTATCTTCCATGCCCTCTTGCAGACGCTTCCTGATGAGAAGGTCCTTGATCTCGTACTGAGCAGCGACTGACTTGGGCATGGCCATGGACGTTACAATTGCTCGTGTTTCGAACAGGTCGGGGTGATTGCAGACTTTTCGTAATGACATTAAGCAATTGATAATCGACATGTAGTTGCCGGAGGACAGGATCTCCTTGGTCGAGGCGCGGCCCATGAATCCATCGTAGAGCTGACGTTGCCGCTTAGAAAGCTTGCAGTAGACAACGTGCTCATATTTCCCTGGCATTTGCTTCTCAACCTCTGATTTCAGCCTTCGCAGTAAATAAGGGCGAAGGACTTCGTGAAGCCGCTTGACAACCTTCTGCGCTTCGGCATCAAGCTGCTGCCGACCTTGATCGAGAATTTGCGAGGTGGGATTCTTCAGAGCCAAGGTAAACTCCTCTAGTCCCGCGATGCGACCTTCTCCGGCAAAACCAGCTGGCATTAAGAAGTAGAGCAGCGACCAAAGCTCATCTATGTTGTTTTGTAGAGGCGTACCGGTCAGTAACAGCCGTCGCTCTGTTCTAAGGTTAAGCATAGTCTGCCATCGTTGAGACTTAAAGTTCTTGATGTTGTGGGCTTCATCGAGGACCAGGTAACGCCAGGGACGCATCTTGAAGGCTGCTGCGTCTTGGAGGATGAGCTGGTAGGAGGTAATGACGACGTTGTACATGTCCTTGCCAGTGTTGCGCCAGCCCATGCGCTTTCGTTTTCGCTCGTTGATGTCGCCATAATATGTCAGAATCTTGAAGCCTGGCAAGAACTTCTTGAACTCCATCTCCCAATTGAGCATGACACTGGTGGGTACGACGACTAGATGTGGTCCCCATATCTCGCGACGAACAGCGAGGTAGGCGAGAAGTGAGATGGTCTGTATAGTCTTGCCCAGACCCATCTCGTCTGCGAGGATTCCGTTTGTCTCGGATTCGTACAAGTTCGCCAGCCAGTCCAAACCATCGTGCTGGTACTCTCGGAGGGTACCGCGTAGTAAGGATGGCACCTCGGTCCTTGGTGGGGATGATGTATGCCGTGATCGAGAAGCGCTTTTGGAATGTACTACATCTTCCATCGGAGTTGACTCAGCTGCCTCGACGGTAGGAGCAGGTTCTGTTTCAGAATGCCCGTTCACATGTGGCTCGTCTACTTCAGCGACAGAATCATGACCATTCACATGTGGCTTCTCCTCGTAGACTTCCGCGGGCGATGTAGCATGGCCATTCGTTTGTTCGGGCTGAGTTGTCGGGTCTTCCGGTTCCACATCGTCAATCGCGGTCTTGGCGGCCTCTTTCAGTTTCTTGATGTCTTTAGGTGCCAAGAAACCCATCATGCCTAAGTCCTCTCCCTCACTCTCATTCTCGTCGTCTTCTTCCGAGCCGGCTTCTTCATGACCATCACCCTCGCTATCCGAACCTTCGTTGCTCGACCAAGCTTCACTACCAGACTCCGAGCCCTTGTCGTCCTCAGAATCGAGCAAAGCATCATCAACCTGATCGAGCTCCACTGTAGCAGGATCGATATAGTCTGGCTTCTGTTTATCCCCATCTTCTTCGTGGTCGTGAAAGCCGTTCGTCTGTTGAAATGGGTTCTCTGGAAGCTCGTTCGTGTTGTCGACATCGAGGTCGGGATCGGGTGTTGGCGCAGGAGTGCCCTCTTCGGAATCAGCGTCGTCATCGTCTTCGCCGTCGTTTGAGTTGACTTCTGCCTCGGAGCTGCTCTCGGGGAGATCGGGAAGTTGTCCGTACTTCTCGCGTAGTTGTTCGGCCGTGAGGTTCGCATCTTCGTCCTGCTCGTTCTCTTGTTCGCTATCGGAGGTGGAAGTCATGATATCGTCGTCGTGCTGTTGTTGTGAGGCATGCGACACCCCGCTTTCGGATTCCATCTCATCGAAATCACGATCTTCGCTGACCAAGGAGGAGGCCCCGTCGCCAGCGTTACGACCACCCAGAATCTCTTGCGCTTGATTAAACATGTCGTCCATGGCTTTGTGTCCGAGCTGCAACTGTTCCTCCTCATATTTAGCCACACGCTCCTTGTCGATCTCAACCCTGACCAAGCCCCATGCGTCCTTGACATCCTTCACGAGCTGCTTGTATCTCGTCACTTGCCGCTCGGTCTCTTCCTGTTCGATCTCATCTTGGCTCTTGCGCTTGAACTTGTTCTTCCAGAAGTCGTATGCTTCTCTGGCCAAGATCTTGGCCGTCCGCCGATGGAATGCCTTCTCCTCCTTTAATAGCTTGTTGAAGTGCAGGGCATGCGCGACAACGTGGTCCCAATGTCCGTATTGTGGCGGTGGCTCTGGGGCTGCTTCAGGCGCATATACGCTGCATCGTGCCTGGCTTAGAACTCCATGTTCAGCAGCCTCGACAATCTGCAGCCGGCGCTCGGCCTCTTCCTCGGCCTTTTCCTGTGTGATCCGAAGCGCCTCTTCGCCGTCTAACGGGTCATCTTGTCCTAGCCACTCTTCGAGCGACGCGTACTCTGACTTGGGCGGGGCATGGTGGGGATGACGGTTGGGAGGGTCGGGCTTTCGCAGTCGCAGGCGGAGACGAGGGGCAGGCATAGATGGGTTCGAGTCGTCGGGCGATCCATACAGGCCGGCGTAGGGGTCGTGTCCGTTCGATTCGGCATCGTCCATGGGCTCGTCAGCTAGATCATCGGTAAGTGGCTGCGCTCCCCTCCGAGAGCGCCCAACCCGCTTGCGCGTGCCTTCGGGCGACCCATTCTGCAGTGCTGGCGACGTGACGGGCGAAGTTGTCGCAAGTGCTGGAGGCTTTCTCTGGCGCTCAGACTTGCGCGCCGGCGTTGCCAGAGACTGTGCGGACACCTTTTTGGTGATGGTGGATGGCGTCTTCCCTTTCGAGACAGACATGGGTCCTGAGCCATTGCGCGACTCTCGCTTGACGCCGTTCTTAGGGGTGCCGTTGGTCTGCGTCGCCTTGCTGGCCGGGCGAGAATTCCGCTTTACAGGTTCCGGCGTTGGCGGTGCAGCATCCTTGCTCACACGTGATGATTTCCTGACGCCATTCTCGAAGACTGTCGTCGGTCCATCAGCCACGAATGACTTCCAGGGCGGCGATGCGGCGCGTGATGCTGAGCGGCGCGGTGTGGTGTCTTCGAGTTTCCGCCGTTTTGGCGGCCGCTCAATGACGCCACCATCATCGCCATTTACAGGTGCCGGCGGATGTTCCTCCTTGATCACAGGTGCGCTGTCGTTCTCGCTCTGTTCGCCATTGTGTGTGATGTCGGATGGGTTGTGTGCGGCGGCCGAGTCGCGTGGTGGGATGGAGTCGATGTCGCGATCCGCGGCGGTAACTTCTTCCATTCAGGAAGGGCGAGAGAGGCGGCCTGGGGAGCCTGTTGACCACCCGGCGCGCGGCCAAATCGACATATATCAGCTCGAATTCGGGGTCGCAAGATAGCCTGACGCGTGCTGGTGACGGTGACGGGGTCGGATTTCAAATTCGGGTTCGCGTTGGGATGATGCGGTGTTATGTCGAAGTTGTGAGATGGTAAAAACAGAGCCGGCGATAATGTTTGGTAGGGATCACGCTAAATACCGGCACGGGCGCGCATGCCATCCCTTTGACGTGAACGACGGCGGAATGCTGGATATCACGTCTGAGAATGCTGTGACTGAGGCTGTCTAGAACCTCCGCAGATTCTTTCAGGCAGGCGTCGGGTTGCTCAGTCGCGTAGACGCCTTTCGTGTCACATCCATGACCGGTCGTGGTACTACGCAGAGCAGTTAGACCCACTTCTCCGCCAAGCATTACCGGGGCCGCAACTGAGCTCATCGCGAACGACACATCAATACTGCAACCCATCCAACCCCCGCAATTGCGCCACAACGTACGAAGACACCAAAGACACGCATCGCGCAAATACTCACTCGGCTCTAGCATGTTTCCCAGGCGCATTGTAGCGGCACGCCCGCTGGCTCGAGCCGTCGTCCCCGCCGTAGCCCGGCCACGACCCCAATTCACCCAAATCCGAACCGCCCTCACCGACGCTGAGAAGGCCCACGCTGAGCTCACAGACCCGAACCAAGTACGCCCACTTTTTCTAGAGAAGGCAGGAAGGATCTAGTGCTGATGGTGACAGAACGGCGGCTACATCAACCCTCCCGCTGAGAAGCGAGGAAACCGCGACCCGTACGGCGACTACTGGGACAAGCAGGAGCGCCGCAACTATGGCGAGCCCTGCCACGAGGACAACGATATCATGGGTGTACTAGCGCTCCACGACTACAACCACTTCACCCCCCAATGGGGCTTCGTCCTACTGGGCACCTTCGTCGCCTCTGTCTTCGGACTCTGCGCGGCTGTTGGTACCTTCTACCCCGACAAGCTTAGTGCGCCCAAGACTTACCCAGATGGTCTGGAGGCTGAGCTGGGTGGAAAGGGTGCATTGCTGGTAAGTGCATTATGGTTCGGTGTGGACTATTGCTAACAGCGTATAGGCAAGGAAGCCCGGTGAGGGCTGGTAAATTGTATGCAAATTCAACTGACATGTACATACAACCCAATGGGATTCTCTTTGTCAATTCAATACCCAGTTATCATTCTAGGCTACTTTGATTTTGAGCTCCATCGCCAATCCAGTCTCAAATACTAACGCATTCATCCCGTTCTGGTTCAATTGAACGCTGATTCGAGAACCTGGAACCACTCCTTCAATACAGCACTCTGCGTTGCGTGCGGGATAATGCGTCTCGGCATCCTCTTCAAGACCGGCATCCTACGACACCCACCCAGGGGCACCGCTCGCCACTACGTCATCCCAGCAATCCAGGAGCACAACCTAGTGGGCCCCATGCATTCCGCAATCCATGCCCAGGCCATGAGGGAACTCAAGTTTCTACTGGCCACTGACTGATCCACCCTTGTTGCATGCTCACTTTGTCGGTAACCGCCCAGGATACTTGCTAGGATCCGATTGGTCAACCCACATATTTATACAAGCAATCAACAGGAGCATATACGGCAGTTGACTTTAGAACCTTCTATAGGAAAGGATCCTTCGATGAAACTACCCGACATGGCGAACCGTGAACATGATGTGGGGTGAGTTCCATGTGGAGACTTGCTTCGAACGTCATTCATGATATATTATGAGACTCATGTGCCACAACAGCACGTTCCCTGATTCCCAACATCTACATTCCATTTTCTCGTTGTCAGACCACTTGATCGTCAGCATGTACTGGTCCTCGCTCACGCTCACGCTCACCTCTTTGTTACACAATGTCGCAGCATCGCCGACTCACGACCTCGAGGCCCGACAGTTTGCAACAGCGGCGATGCTACGTTTCCAGTGCTCTCAACTAGTCTACGACCGTATCGACCCACTTGTCCAACCCGGCATTGCACCTTCAGCACACATGCGTAAGCGATGCCCATATACTACCTTGCTACAGTACGTATACTAAATTTGCATGTCATTGTTTAGACCAGATCGTCGGCGGAAACGCCTTCAATGTCTCTATGCCACCGCTCGACCTTGACCCCAGCACGGAAGCCACTTGCACAACCTGCGATTTCGCCGAAGACCTATCAAACTACTGGACCGCAAATCTCTACTTCAAAGCGCGTAACGGAACCTTCCAACGCGTCCCACAAATGGTCAACTTGGGTCTACAAGGCAGAGAAGGCGTTACGGTATACTACATCCCGCCATACGACGGAAAGAGTACGGTGACCGCGTTTCCCAAGGGTTTCAGGATGCTGGTTGGTGATCCAGGCTTGAGAGCTAAGGAGGGTCAGCAGAAACAGCTCTGCCATCGCTGTTTCACGAACAAACAGCAAGATCCTTTTGGTGGGGCGCCATGTATCGGAGAAATTGACACAGCGAGCTTGCCACCGGGCATGTGTGGGGGTGGGATCAGAACGACTATTACATTCCCAACGTTTGTGGACTCTACCTACCTGGCTTAGCGCATATTGCTGATCTTGGAAACAGATGCTGGGATGGCAAGAACGTCGATTCTCCGAACCACAAAGATCATGTCGCGTACCCTACATCTGGATCCTTCGAGTCTGGCGGTCCTTGCCCATCGACTCATCCAGTGAAGATGCCTCAGCTCATGTACGAGGTCATGTGGGATACTACGCCTTTCAATGACGTGTCTGTCTGGCCTGAGGATGGGTCGCAGCCGTTTGTCTACAGCATGGGTGATGCGTGAGTGACCTGCAGCGGCTGTGGGGGAACAACACTAATCATGTATAGGACTGGCTATGGCCAGCACGGCGATTATGTCTTTGGCTGGAAAGAGGGTGCGCTGCAGAAAGCGATGGACCAACGCTGCTTCGGGAACACCTGCACGGGGTTGACGACACAGGCTGCCGATGTGTCGACCAAGTGTGGGGTACCACAGGCTGTGAAGGAGCCGGTTGAAGGATGGCTCGATGAGTTGCCTGGTGGTCCAGTCGTGACCTATGAGTGATCCGGGTCAATCAAACTGAACCGTGGGAGGGTAACGTACAAACGTGGGCCGAACTTATCCCTGCAAGTAACCCGACACTCGTTGTACTATGTTGACGTCTATAGAAGAACGATTATTTCGTTAATAGCATATCGCGCTCGCTTGAAAGACTTCCCGCTGGTTTTTTGGAAGATTTCCTATCAAAATTGTCCAGTGGTCGTGTGGTGCGCAGACACCGGAACGAGCAATCGGCCGCTCACCGCGGTTGGACTTTCGTTATCATACAAACGGCTGATCTTGCAAGGGACGCGTCCGCACCCTCCACTCCCACCAATTTTCATCATAACCGCCATGCGTCAATATGAAGAAGACAAGGTGAGCCAGAAGAGGAAGGAGTGCCAAAGGCGCGAAGCGAATGTTGCGCTTTCGCATGTTATCATCCACGAAGATCCTGCAGGAAAAGATGAGACACCAGTACCAGGGCATGATGAGAAGCTACCGGCGAAAGACGTATCGCCAGATCCTTCTGACGCTGCTCAGTCACTTCGCCCTCTACCGCAGATCTCGCGCAAAAGACAACGCGAGCCTAGTTGCGAGTCACGAGACCCGTCACTCAAGGAGTCGATTGTGGATACATCCCAGCGTAAATCAACCGACGTACACAGCCCGTACTCAGAATCAGCGACCGCCCCATTGGAATACTACATCCGCCTAGCCTCAAAGTCCATATCGCTCCCAGCCCCTTCCGACTCGTACTTCACCTCACCAAAGCATGCGCCAGTACTCCATCGCAATCGCGAGAACAAGATCATAATGTACACTGGCTCCTTCAACCCACCGCATCTTGGTCACATCGAACTGGCCTTCCACACATTCCTACGCAGCTCCTCCACCACCATCGCCGTTGTCTTACTTCCACTACGCGACAGACTCAAAGCGAAAGACGGCGCTATGATTAACGGAAAAGTCTTCGCCACCGAGAAAGAACAAAGAATCGCGCTACTACAAAACGACCTACTGCAGCGCTGGACTTGGTTCTACAAAGGCCATCGCACAGATCTGGAAAGATACGGGACTACTCTGATCGAAGAAGCGAAGAAAGACGGATTTCAAGTTTCCTTTGTAGTCCTAGCTGGAAGCGATAAATTCGAACGCGAGAAAGTGGAATCGAAGCCCTTTTGGATCTCAGGATGGGGAGAAATAATCACCAGCGACATTACCCGGGCATCTAGTCTGTTCAAGGGTCCAAAGCGTCCGCCCAGACGGTTACCTGGATGTAGATCTTGGCGCTTGATCTCTACACCAACCAGCAGGAAGGGAGACTTCAGCTATGAATGCGGAGGCGCGAGTCACGAATGTCGCATATCTCTACGGATCCAAGAGTACTGCGGTGGGCATGCTGCTTTGGAAGGCGAGGCGCATGTTAGATCCAGGCAAGACAACTTACTGCATGAAATTCTGGTAAGATGCCATGAGGGAGTGGGGCCGACGTGGGTTTGCCACAAGAAGACTGGGGGTACAGTGACGTTTTTGGGTAGTGGAAGAGATACTGAGGGTGATGAGAAGAGAGAAGAGGTTAGTTCTTCGGCTATCAGAAAGATATTGGGGGAAGGTGGCAGTAAGGAGGAGATGATATCAAAGCTGGAAAAGGTCATGTTGAACCCAGAATTGCTAATACTATATCTTGGGCTGGATGAATAAGTGGCAAAGACATGCTGGGCTTGGGAGAAAGAATATCCTCAATGCTTTGAGGTACCCAGACCAAGGAATGCAGAACTACAAGGCCCTTAATAACGGTTCTATCTTCGAAGTAGGGCCTGATCGTCATCCTTTAACAATTATTGACCATACTGAGGCCGATCCAGTGCTCATCGAAATCCCTTCGCCCAGCAGGAACTTTGGTGGAATCGCTGTCACAGGTATTGCGAATATAGTCCATGTCGACGCCAATATCGCTGCCCAAAGCACAGAATCTAGTGTCGCGCTACAATAGTCATCAGATCAGCTCTTCATGCTCAAATGTATTGGGGTAAATAAGACATACCAAGTTGCATAAGTAGACAGCGCAATTGTATGAGCAGCTAACGATGGCGCAGTGATTGAATCCACCATTGACACAGTACCAGGTGTGGTGAAGTCCGTTCAGGCGATTCCAGCCGTCGTTGCAAGACTTGTGGCCAAAGACATCTCTGCCCCATTCACAGTTGAGCTATTGACAATGGTGTGAGCATGCATGACTAAAGTTCCGAGGGTGACATGAGCTTGGAGACTTACGGTTGATCGCTTGTGCAAGGAGCGCGCTTGGGCGACATCTAAATCCTTCGTGTCCGGGAAGGCCTCGGGCTTGAGCGCCTTCATCTCCTCGTAGACAGATTCCGCGGTGCCCGTGAAGGTGACGTCGGGGAACCGGTCGTCGGTTACCTCCAGCTCTACGAGAACTATGTTGTCGCCGGATATCTGAACGCTGCCCATGGAGAGATCTTGGGCTTGAGGCACAGCCGTGGCGTTGGTCTATTGGCCAAATTAGTCGATGTTGAGCGCAAGAAATTGCTGAAATCGGTGGGAAGTTACGCACAGTGCAAGTCAAGAGGCCCAAAGCGGCAAGGAAGATAGCGAAGAAAGACTTCATCTTAGTACGAGAATTGTCGGTGACTTGGATAGGATTTGTGCGATAGTAAGTTGAATATGTCCGCAGCCTGAACCGGGTCTTTCCAAGATTTTTTTGGTGGTGAGACTGGAGAATAAGAGTGGAGAGAAAATTTCGCTTCTTTATACCCTCCAGTCTTTATGATAAGTGAGTCCCGTCCTTCACCCTAAGATCCGGACTGCGGTTACCCCTCACTTACCTGTGCGCACGGTGGAGACACGTCATTGGGCGAATACCCAGCGTGGCACGCGCTCTGCAAGAGCGTTTGCCTTAGTCTCTCGCACTGGTGCCTGGTTCAGCGTTTGGAATGGATTGTCTTACTCGGTCGCCACGATAATGCAATTCGGTGGCTTAGAAAGATCGCGGTTGATAAGAACGTTTGTATAATCTTCAAAACGATAAGTATCGCCTGACGCATGAGGTAGGAGTGCTACCTAATCATCGACAAGGAGATGACTCGTTGCCAGAACGACGGTCATCAAGGATGTGTCCGATCGCTTTCATATGCCTAAAAGTACAATGTGGGGGTATCTAGAGGATTTGTGGGCAACAGAGGGACATCTAATGCCTCTCTCTGATAGGCAACGGCCCCATGACATACTCCATCCTCGCAGCGGACTCCTCATCAAACGTCTCGTGCAACTCTGAGTCCACATTCTGAGCTTGAGCCTCATCTTCTGCGTCCTCTTCAGCCTCCTTTCCTTTTCCCTCCGCTCCTCTTCCGGGTCGGCGGCTGTCCTCTGTACGAACGGAAGTTCCAGCTTGCGACCCCAATTCTTGATCATCTGGCTCAGAATCGTGGACATGGAACACTTCACACATCGCCTTCCTCATTCCCTCCAGCCGGTCCATGATGTCATCTTCGGAAAGATGTTTGGGAAAGGGTACTATCCGATCTTCGCTTGCGGAAGTCAAGCAGTCCATCAAGAACTGTTTCGGCAGGTCGTGCATCCATTCTTTGACATCCGCCTTCTTTCCAATCTTCACTACGGCGTCGACAGCTAGGTGACGTAGGGAAGAATTCGGAGTGGTAGCTTTGTATATGTTGAAAATACACTTGTACGGAAGATCGTCAGGGTTGTCGTAGATGCGCAGGAAGAATTCGTCTAGAACCGCATTTCGGAGCAAAATGATCCCTAATTCGTTGGCGAACATGAAGACATGGATGAGTCTACCGAAAGAGATTCTCTGATCAGTGATATCGTCCGAATCGGGTTGATTGAGGTAACCGGTCTTGAGGAAGTCGAGGTAGATGCGGAAATTGCGTGGTGATACATCAGGCAGGCTGAAGTACTCGGATAATTCGTCCAGTCTAGATTATGTTAGTATGAGTTCGCTTGGTGACACTTGTGCGATATTGTGCAGGATGTCTCCAAAGTGAGGTAATAAGAGGTAGTAGACTCACTGATCGAAGAAGTAGTCAGACGTGTTGCGTAGTTGCCTCAACGGCGCGTCGAACACTTCGCTATCGCTGCCATAGCCGATTTCCAGCGATATCCGCTCGGGACCAAGCCATTTGCTAAGATCTCCGGGGAGGTTGCTGCAAGGTACGAAAGCCTCCGACATCCTGGTTCCGAGTGTTGACGAAGTCTTGAATCGCGGTGTGCTCCGATGTTGGAGCTACGGGAGAGAAGACGCAGAGTCACAATGGCCGTTATGGATGTTCAAAAATGGTCAAAGCGCGGTTACCTGGAAGCAAACGGTGAAGTGAAGGTGAACACGCGCACTTTCGAGGACCAGACATGGAAACGCGCACCGACTGTTTTGTGTAAAGAGGATATTGGCGGCTAGACCGCGAATTTATATGAATCTACCTCATACAAGAACGCTGGACAGGTCTGCAGACTACGTTGAAACAAGAACTTGCAAAGTAGATAAACTAACGTTAAAGTAGGCTCTCGGATGTTTTTTGTTCCCCTAGATTAGCGTGGATTTAGACAAGAAGACAAGACGACGACATCTGATAGTTGACGAAACGAGGGTGAGACTTAGGCGTTTGTGACCCTGAGGAATGACATCGAGCAGCACTTCCTGACGTACGTTCATGTGAGACATGATGTGACGGTCCTACGACACTTTAATTACCGCACAACACACCTGCCTACATTGAACACCATGGATATCATCTAGCTAGCTATCCTACTTCATATCAACTCGTATCTGCGAAAGCCTTCATATAGACGCCTCGCTGTCCATCCCACATACCATGAAGCGGATGCCACCGATAATACATTAGCTAAGTATACTCAACGCCCAAACGACACACAATGATGCAGAGGTATCAGAAAGCAAACGAACGCCAAAACAGTGACATGTGACATGTGACAAAAAGAGTCCACGGGTGGCTTTCTCTTATCGACGTGGGCCGCCCATGCCGCCCGTCATGCGACCACCGCCCGAGTTGAGACTCTGTCGTACGATCATTTCTGCCGCTTGCGCAGCGGCAAGGCGTTCCTGTTGTTCGTCAGTAAGCGTGAATATGGAAAAGGAATGGCGATGGGTACCTTCTGTCTGCTTCTGTCCTTCAGGTACCTCTCCGCCTCGGGCCTCATTCTCAGTATCCTCAAGATCATGTCGTCGTTAGGCTCAGCCTGTGCTTCCTTCCTCTTTTCTTCCTTGGCTTTCTTCATTGTGCCAAGATTGCGCGACAGCATAATGGTCTTGTGTTTCCTGGTCGGCATCCCGACAAGTCCCGCGGCACCACCAAACTGGTGGCCCATAGCAGGCGGCGCCGACATGCGGTTCAGGCGTTGGGATTGTTCTTGCTGTCGTCGTGCACTAGCTGCAGCCATTGATTCGGACGTACGGATCAGGTCTTCAGTAGCTTCAAAGTAGAAGAAGTTGAGGTTCTGAAGCTCATGGTACTTGGGTGACTTGAGCACGTCCATGGGTACACCCTCAACATTCCCATCCTCATCTACAGCGTGGAAAAAGTCGAAAAGCATCTTCAGCCACTTGAACACAATGTCAAGCTCTTGTTGTGTCAACGGGCGCTGTTGCGAGAGCTTGTCGGATAGCGGAGGTACGAGTAGGGACTCTATGGTCGCGAGTGCCTCCTTCCAGAGTCTTGTCATAACCATGATCATTGCAGCGTCTGTCAGCGTCTGCTTCATGATCGCGAAGTTTTCGTCAAAGTAGACGAACAAAGGACCGAGAGCTTGCGTGACGTCCTGTTGTGTAGGGCCTTGAATGACAGACATAGGCCTGGCTTGTCGGAAGTTTCCTAAGTAGTTGGTGACCTTCGATGCTACGCCCTTATTGAGCAAGGCATCAAGTGAGCGACGCGAAAGCTTGTAGCCGATGAACGATGAAAGCTGCCATTGTTAGCGCAAATTGTGTATTGTAATGGCAATACGCCTACCTTGTCTGTGATCTTCCGTGTCATGTCACGCTCAGTCCTCTTAAGTGTTCTGAACGACTTGCCGAAGTAGAACTGGATATCGTCTCGCTCGCCTTCCATGCTCACACGCAGCAACAGACGACCCTGCGTATCCAAGTCAAGCCAGTATTCTCGGGGCATATAGTCCCGGAAGTGTGATGGATCGAGCTTGAGAGACGTCCGGCCGACGCAGTCATGGTCGCCCATAGCGTCCCAGTCCCAGATTGTTGCAACGACGTTCAGCGGGCCATTAGTCGTGATGTCAATTGTCTCGTCCCAACGAGGGTTGAGGTTGCGGTAGATGACCCGAGTCTTTGCCAGACGCTTTTGATACTCATCACCAAGCACAACGTATGGATCACTTAGACCATTCATGTCGCAAGCTTTCAGGTCTTCAGCCTCGATGATTTTGATGGTGAAGACGAAGTTGTTGTTTCGAAGGCGTTGTGTCGGTGGTGGGGAATGCTTTTGGATGACTTCGGCGCACGCATCGACGCCAATCTCGCGCTCGAGCTTATCTAGTTGCTGCATTGCATACTCAATGTTGTTGAGTTTGACAAGCGACTGTATTCGTAAGCATTGAACATGTCATTGAGTCGAATACTTACCTCTGGGTAGAATTGAAAGGGCTCGACCTTCTCTTTCTGGCTGTAGAAGTCCTTGACAGTCGACAACCACTTCTCTGATTTGGTCTGATGAGCGGCAGCCTCCTGCTCAGGGGTCAAGCGATCCATCTCCTTGGCGAACTTCTGCTCAACAAGTTCGCAGTATCTCGCAAGTGCGACACCGATCGATTTCGACACAGCAGTCATGAATTTGGCGTATTGGACATCGTTATCCCAGTTTAGTGAGACAATCTGCTCGATACTCTGATTGAAGGACCGGAAGACATCCACGACCGAGACACTGTGGCGCTCCTCGTCTGAAGGAATGGGGTTCTGCGATTCGATCTGGAATTGGTCTGCCTTGAAAGCGTTGTCAACCCACCCAATAAGGTTTTGATCCGTCATCTGAATCCATCTCCACACAAAGTCCTGTAGCTGATCTTCGATGCTAAAAGCAAAGTTTTTGCCTGGTAGAGCATCGCTGTGTATGCGGCGTATCTCAACAAGCTCTTTGTACAAGTCGAAGCCATCCTGTACGGGTACATCCTCTCCTTTGCTTTGAGCAACGTCCATGATCCGAGCGACAAGGTCCCGCGCATCTGCGGCGTAAGAGGGAAACATCTTCTCAACGAGGCAATTCATGGGACTAGCACCCATGACCTCTGGGTTCTTGCGGTAGCGCTTCTGTATCCGCTCGCATAGCTTGACCACAGCACGACCCAGCTCAATGACATGGTAGAACTCCCATTCTTCTTTGGTGTCCGGGATGTGCTTCGCTAGCAGCTCTCGGTATACGTCGCCAGCCTTGTCCCTTAGTCCGTGACGCAATTGTTCAGTGAACTGATCCATGTCTTCTTCGGTGCCGGGGAAAGTAGGGTCGTCGTAGATGTGGGTCTCAAGTATGTACATCACCGGTCCGAGTGCAGGCGGTTTGGTGTCGTATACATGCATCATCAGCTCATACAACTCTCTTAACAGGCAGTCGTGCAACGTTGACAGAATCTGCTGGTTGAGAGTGTAGTCCTGGATTGTCCATTTCGTTCGGTCAAACAACGACACTTGTACTGGAATATGGCTCATTCGATTGGCCTTCTTGTCAGCTGGCGGTGGTTCCTTGACATAGTTGAAGGCAGCATCGAGGGTATCCAGACTGATGTCTTGGTTAATGTACTTGTCGCGTATGACGTCTAGGAACAAGACGAGACGGGAAAATTGTGGTATCCTCCATCGGAGGGCTATCTCATTCAAAAGCTCAGCCGATTGTTTTGACAGTAGCTTCACAGACGGGTTCTCGTTGGTAGCTTCGGATGGTTCGAGGTCGTTGTCCGCCAGATCATACGTCAGTGCTTCATTCAGTATCGCACGATAAGTGGCACGTGGATCTGAAGGTATGAAGGTATAGGATGAGCTATCATTTGGGTCGTCGTTGAGGCTGAGCCCGTTCATATCCACAGACTGGTCAATGACATATGAGGAGCCGTTCTCTGACGACATAGAACCCTGCCTCGAACCGTCTGAGTAGCCGGGGTCCAAAGAAGCATTGGGCTTGAAGTGTGGCACAGATCCGGGTGAACTCTTTGCGAGCTCGGGGTTGGACTGGATGATTGCCAGTATCATCTGCGAGAGGTCTGGCACCTCTTGGTTCTTCCATGCCTCGTACGCCTCCTCGGTATCGAAGTCGTCACTGTTCAGCGTCTTCTTGGTCATGAGACTGAGGTGCGCCTGGTATGTCTTGAGATCCTGCAGCGCAGCCTTCTCCGTCCATACGGACTTGTATCGGTTGATATCGGCTTGTACATCGGAGTACCCTACAGCGAAGATGCGTGACACTACCAAGACGAGGGGCATGTCCTTGACTTCATAACTTCGCGGAACCTCGACTTCGACTGTTGTGCCACCCTGACCGCCATTGCGCTGGTTCTCCGCCGCCAAATCTTGGTCGTGTACGAGTAACTTCTTCTCCATCGTGGCCAACCGATGCGCAAGTTCGGGTCTGTCCTTTTGCCAGTCATGGTCTTTGAGGCAAGAGCTGACAAGACGTAGGAAGAGAGCGACGTGCCGATCTACCATGAGCTTCCAGCTGTCATCTCCAGGCGCCTTCCCCTTTTGCAGTTCCTTTGTGGCGTTGGAGTAGAAAATCAGAAGAAGGTCCTCGACTCTCCTATCTTTGTCCATGTTCTTCCTGAACGACGGGTCCTTGAATGCATTCAGGAAGACGGCGAACGTTCGCTTGACCGTGGCATCCTGGAACTCAGGCATGCGCTCCTGCCCCATCAACACCTTTGTGATCCGTTTGTCCAGTGCAGCCATGAAGTCGCGGGGGAAGCGCGTGCTCTTGGAGTCCCGTATGAGGGAGAAGTCCTTCATGAGGTCGTTTATCGAGGTCGACGATCGCTGGACATGTTTGGGCGCGGCGGGGACATGTTGCACCCGCTTCTGCCGGGGTTGGAGGAGGTATGCGAGGTATGCCGCGCGGAGGGCATAGAGATAGGCATCTTGGGCCGTGACGGGGCGCTTCCCCTGGGCGTTGGCTGAACTGCGTCGTCGCAGGCGGTCCTGGGCCTGGAGGCTGTTGATGCGGCGATTGCTCCCCCGGGTGCCGTCCATGGTGGAGTGCGTGGGAGGATTCAATGGCGTGGGTGGAGGAGTGCGGCCGCGGTTGGGCGCATGTCACGGCGGTGGTGGTGTAGTGCGTGCTCCCGGGCTGCAGCTGCCCAGTGGGATGTCCTAGCGGGGTCGTGCCTTCTCTTGCAATTTCTCCTACAGCGTGGCGACTCTGTCACTGGCCCTGAGCCGTCGTTTTCACTCTCGACCGAGGGTTGCTACTGCCGGCGGTATCTCTGGGCGTCGCGTCGTGGCCGACGTGGTTCCTGGTGGCGCGGAAGATCCACCGGAGTGCGTCACACGCTGTTGGGTGCAGGGAGCCAGGAGCCTCATATCGCGCTGACGGGGTCCGGCCACCTTGAAACAACGTTTTAATTAGCCGCGTGTTTCTTGCTTGATAGCGCCATGTCAGCGTCGCTGCTAACATTGAAACAAACAGCCGTTTTACTAGTAGAGATGCCCTCATCTGCACATTGTGCATCTTATCGCCATGGTACCAAGCACGTGCTAGCCATGGAGAGCTTCCGCTTCACCCACGCGTATCGATAGCGCGCCTCTACCATCGCACCTCCTACCACACACACGGATGCCCATCGCACATTGTAGCACCGGCTTGCTGGTATAGCCCGCGTTGAGTGGTGTATGCCTCCAAGCTCGGCACCCGTCGGCCCATTCACATGAAGGGCAGGAACTATGCCCAGGTGAGCGCCTGCTGTCCCCTACAACACTATAGCAGTCGCGTACCACAGCCTGTGCCTCAGAACGTCGCCTTGGTCTCCTTGACCGAACATACAGCATAACGCAAGAAAATATCCCAAGTAGCCACATCCAGCGAACCGGTTCGTGCCAGCTGAAATCTACTCTACCTACCCGAACACACTGGCCATTCGCGTCAGACGATACAATCGTACAACCGCCTCCACGCCATCATGCCGGAGTCGCAAAGTCCCACAAACGCCGCCGACCGGCCCCGCCTTACCGAAGCTCAAAAGAAAGAGAACCACATCCGTTCCGAGCAGAAGCGACGCGAAGCGATTAGAGAAGGCTTCGACCGACTTGCCTCAATAGTACCCGGCTTGGAGGGACAAGGCCGAAGCGAGGCAGTTGTGCTCGGGGGTGCCATCAAGCTCATGCGCGAGAAGATTGTGGAGCGACAGCAGATCATCGCCGACGCCAAGGCGAAGGGGATCGACACAACGGGATGGGAGTTGGACAAGGACACGATGGAGGCATGCGCTAGGCAGATGGAGCGGACGCTGGCCGAGGAGCGACAGGCGGAGAAAGAAGAGAACAGTAATGGTGTTGAGGTGAAGAAGGAGTAAGGATGCACGCGTTCCACCCGGTATACACGGGATGAGAATGGGCTGTGATACTGGAACATGCGTACAAGGCGTATACGCGTCATATTGCTAGGAAGCAGCAAGACACCCTTTGACTTTCCGCATAAGTCGCGTGGGGAGACTCTCCGGTCAGAAGTAAAGTGCATTTCTTCGCTATCCTCAAATCAAAATGATGATTAATCCAACTAAGACTTGAGACAAACTAAGAACAGAGCGCATCTATGTAGTAGACATTCACCCGTGCACACACCATTTGCTTATCGATAAGACCCAAAATTATCTTTCACATGAAAGAAGCCCCACCAACCACCAAACTGACATCTTGCATATCAGTCTAACCTGATCCAACCCCAGTTCAGCATTTCATCATGGCATTCAGTTTCGGCTTTTCAGGCGACGACATAGAAGAAGACCCCAACGATGTGCAAGAGCAAGGGCAACAGCAAACAACGACAGATCGCAATGTCCCACCACCTATTGCGGCCAAAGCACATGATCTCGATGAGCTGGTAGGTATGCGCTTTTGAACTTTGTATAGACATGGGACAATCTCTCAATTCCTTACCCTTCTCTCTCATCGAGATGATGAAGATGTTCTTACAAGCGATACTAACAAGGGTCCTAGCTAGCCAGCCTCCCAGACAAACTCTCCTACTCAACCATCAACATAACCAGCCCCAAAGGCTTCACAACTCGTCTGCCCCGCCGCGAACTCTTCGATGTGCGCCTTCAACTCATGGCTGAAGACGATGGATCTTCCCAAACACCTCTGACAGGTCTCGATGTAATGCCTTCCTATCCCCTCCTTCCATCCACAAACTGACACTCACCCAAAGGACTCCGACCTCCGCCAAAACGTCTACGAAGGCGGCTACAAGACCTGGGAATGCAGTCTCGATCTCGTCCGCTACCTGCTCGATCGTGGACCGCGGAAAGATCTCGATGACCTCATGCGCGTCGGTCATGTTATTGAGATGGGTTGCGGGTCTGCGCTGCCTTCGCTTCTCCTTTTTCAGTACGCGGTTACGAACCAACTTGGGATCTACTTCACTCTAACAGATTACAACGCCGACGTTCTACGGCTTGTGACTCTACCCAATCTAGTTCTGACATGGGTGGGTACGCTAAACGCTGAGGAGAGTGCAGCGCTGTTCCCTGAGGCGGGGAATCCGCTCTTGGAACCGGCGGAGAATAGCGAGGTATATCTTACTCCTGAGATCCTAGCAGCTTTCAAGAAGGCGATGAGTGAAACTGGGATCACGATGACATTCATCTCGGGGTCTTGGACGCCGGTTGAGAAGCTCCTGGAGATGGTTCCTTCGTCTTCGGATTTGAACACGTTCATCTTGGGTTCGGAAACTATCTACTCGCCGGCTTCGCTCACGGCGTTTACCGATGCGATTGTCGCGCTGATGGGACGGGTGAAGACGGGTAAGACAATGGTAGCGGCGAAGAGAGTGTACTTTGGTGTTGGAGGTAGTGTGGATGGATTTAGAGAAGCTTGTGCACAGAGAGGATGTGTGGCCTACGAAATGGAATTTGAAGGCCTAGGCGATGGGAGCGATGGAGGTGTGAGGAGATGTTTGGTTGAGGTGCAGATGTATTGAATTTTGTAAACATGGTGGTTCATTGCGGTCATGAGTTATGAATGAGATGGGTATCTAGGGATGTACCAAGTAGAAAAATAAAACCAAAAGGAAAGTAAAGACAATCTTGTGAACGCCGTCAAAAAATATCCAAGTACTAAGCCAGGTTTCTCCAAAGCTGCCTGTGTAGAGACGATCTTACTACTTCGCCCTCACGGTGACTGTCGGTCCAGGCAGCTCCCTTCTACCCTCACCTTCTTCGCCGCCACGCATAAGCCTCTTATACGTGTCCCCCTCAACCCTCATGTGCTCTCCACGACTGACCTGCAGCCTATCCACACCCTTCCCGATAGCATCGATATGGTACTCCAAAGGTAGATCACTTCTGTACCCCAACATCTCTGGCGCCGCAACTCCCTCACGCAAGTTCTCTAACTCGGCCTGGATCTCTTGCAGCTTCAGAAGTGTGCCAGATACATGATTGACCGCTCTCTTGCGATAGGCTCCGATGTTGGCAAGTAGATTAAGTGACTTGGTGTTGGCTTTTACATCCCCGCGGTTACCGCCGAGCTTCGTCCAAAGGCTTGAAAGAAGCTCCTCTTGTCTGCCTGTTATCGTCTGGTCATCGCCTGTTGCAATTTCGTAGATGGTGCCTAGTCGCTCATCAAGGTTGTGCAAAACAAGAAGCAGAGCTTGAGCTGTTTCGATAAGACGCGTAATCTCGTCTTTGTTCTTGCTGACGTGTGATACGTATTGGTCGAAGATGCGTTGTTGGAGCGTTGGCGGTGGCGCGACGAACGCACCCGTGACCTGGTTGATAACTCGGCCAACGGCGCCAATGGAAGCCTCTTTCTCCGAGATACCAGACAACACGTTCATCGTCCAAGTGTTTGTCGCAATTACACGGTCTATAGCTGCCCCTATCCGACTGTTGTAACGAGACAGATCGACGGAAGCCTCGTTAGCTGTTTGTACAAAGTACTCGAATTCATTGTCCAAGGCCTTGCGGCTCGGAAGACGAGAGTGCTTGACAAGAATACGCAAGTCGCGAATAGCAAGCTCGGAGTTCTTGATCGTGGCGGGCAGAGCAGAAGTATCTTTCGATGCGTCCAGGATATCCTCGAATCGACTTTGAACATTGATGAGTTCCTCAAAGTCGGCCTGAGGTTCTGACGTGTCTAGCGTAGCGCATGCGGGGATGAGGTAGGAAGAGCCTGGTATCGCGCAAACAGGCCCCATTACAGCGTTCGATACTGTGGATCGTAGTATCCCGGATGCTAGCTGGATGCCGAAGACTAGGATGCCAACGCCGAGGGCGACCCCTAAGAACGGCTTGATAAAGTGTCGCATCGCGTAGGAGAAGATGTCTAGGAAGTGGGCGAGGAGTGGTGCGGCGACGTTATCCCAGAAGAGGTTCACGTAGTGCCATGGGCTCACTTCTTCCTGGTTTTGTTGTGGCGCTTGCGGATATCCGCTGGCAGGCCCTTTCGTGAAAGAGCTGCCTAGTGCAAGGGGCGAGTCTGATGGGCGGTTTTGGGTCGTGTTTCTTACTCGGTTCCGCGGCTGGGATTTTGGACCTGGCGAGCCGCCGTAACCACTTGGCGAGTTACTCATGGAAGGCATGATGAAGCTCGGCTCGGATGCGTCTTGTTTCGGTGTTCTGTCGGGTCCTATCCTTTGCGACTGGCTGGCTTTGGTCCGACTTGCTGGCTTTCTCACGGGCCGAGCCTGCGTTTGCGCCGTAGGTGTTGACTTGCTGAGATGATTGCGCTTAGGTCTGGGTGTCACGGTCGTCCGTGGTTCTTGTACAGTTTCTTTGTCAGAGTCCTCTAGTTCCAATTCGCTGGCTTCGTCGCTGGCCGAGTGAATGGAGCCTTCGTCACCGGATGCGTAGTCAGCGTCGCCCCAGCTACTTCCCAAGCTGTGTTCGAGTCGCCGTGAACGTGCGCTCATATTCCAAGTCGATGGTATCTAGGATCTGTGACGTAGGGCTGACGGTTGAGTGGGTCAAGGTAAGAATGCAATACAGAGCAGGGGGTAGTTATAGATTTAGGCAGTGGTGTGTCTAGTGATGACCCAAACTGTCTCACTGACTGCCTTTGTGTCGTTGTAGGAGGCTGGGTAGAACCGGTTGCCACTTCCTACGTGTGACGTGGGGCCTGCCAATCAGGCTTCTGGCGCATACTGTGTCTTAGTGCGTCGCAGAGACATCAAGCACTTTTGTTGTTAGTGGAGTTCCAGAGCGATGGCCCTAGCACCGTACCTGTAGTACCTGACCGCGTTTGGGGTTTAAGTGGTGTTGGCGTACAGACGCGTCGACGTCATGTTCGAGCTCGCGTGTGCCAAGACGACTAGTCCAGAAAGTGCATCCTGAACACCACGCGAAGTTGGTGCAGGAGTCAAGACTTTCCGATGCCACTACGCCAGCTTTCCCTCGCGCTACGGACTGCAAGACGGGCGCAATTAGAACCAACGAGGTGGCGCCAACATGGACGTCTTTTCGCGCGCAGCTGCTCTTGTTCTGCGCCCCACCAGTTGCAGCACACGGTGACCGTCTCGTCTGAAGCACCCGCCAGTGCGCAATTGAACCCTACAGCCGGTACCCCGCCTACACCTCCTCTCGACCATCGAGCCCTCGCGCAAACACACAATCTCTTCATCACATCTCCATATAGCCCCGGCTCGCCGCTTATCCTTCCCAACGGTGCCTATGTCTTCCAGAAGTTGCAGTCTTTCCTGCGAGCGCAATATCCGCAATTCGGCTTTCAAGAGGTCATCACGCCCATAATATACAAGAAGTCGCTATGGGAGAAGTCCGGGCACTGGGAGAACTATGCAGAGGACATGTTCAGTGTGCAGGGAAGAGGGACAACAGCGCAGATACCTGAAGCAGAAGGCGGAGAGGACGGCGAGTTCGGTCTGAAGCCCATGAACTGCCCCGGCCACTGTTTGCTGTTCAGGGACGAGATCAAGAGTTACAGGGATCTCCCAGTCAGACTCGCCGATTTCAGCGCTCTGCACCGGAACGAGATCTCAGGCGCCTTGACAGGACTGACCAGAGTCAGGCGGTTCCATCAGGACGACGCGCACATCTTCTGTCGACCAGACCAAATTCTAGCAGAGATTGAGCAGACGCTCCAGTTTGTGGGCATGGTATACAACACGTTTGGACTGGGACCCTACAAGCTGCTTCTCTCTACTCGGCCCAAAGACAGCTTTATCGGCACCATCGAGGAGTGGGATCGTGCAGAAGAGCAGTTGACTACTGCGTTAAACAACATCGGGAGTGAATGGGCAATCAACGAGGGAGACGGAGCGTTCTATGGCCCAAAGATTGACATCATCTTGAAAGACTCGAACGGCAAGGAGCATCAGACGGCAACCATACAGCTCGACTTCCAGCTGCCACAGCGCTTCGATCTGCAATACCAAGCATCACCGGAAGAATTGGAGGCAGGACCGCAGTCGTCTATGGATGCAGGTCTGGATCCGGCTCTTCGCCGCCCAGTCATTGTACATCGCGCCATCTACGGTTCCATCGAACGCTTCATGGCTTTACTGATCGAACACTACGCCGGCAAATACCCGTTCTGGCTTTCGCCTCGGCCAGCCATCGTCTTGTCGCTAAACTCAGACCCAAAAGTCCTCGAACATGTCTCGCGCATTCAGTCTGTCCTTTCCGGTCTCACACCCTCCGACGCACCAGCCACGTCCGCATCGTCACCCAGGCCCTTACCGTTATCGACTATACACCTGCCTATCGATGTCGATACAAGCGACCGCTCGCTCGGAAAGAAGATCGCCGAGGCAAGAACAAAGAAGTACAATCACATCATTGTGGTTGGCGGCAAAGAGGTTGAGAGTGGTAGCATGAATCTTCAGATCGTGAACCAGCCAAACGAGGAGTCCACTATAGAAGCTCTGCAAGCCTCCTTGGGAAAGACCCTCACTGAGAGAGAGCGAACAAAGGCCACCGTGAACGTTGACCTGGACGGCGCCAGGAAATACTTCGAGAACCTGGCCAACTCGTTCTTGTAATAGAAAGTCGATTCGGATTCAACCCCCTGTTATGCTCAATTGTATGTCATTGTGATCGCACCGTGTTTAGTCTCGCTGTTGTGTCTGCTTGTATGTGCATGTCATAGTTATGGGCCGCTAAAGATGGCATGTAGCACGTTACTTCGAGATAGTATCCTGGTATGCTCGAAGAGAAGGTAGTAGGGAGAATACACAAGCTCTGCAAATGCTACCATACCCCGTGGCATTGTCAATCGACTGGCAGTATCTAGGTAGAGAAGTCTGCTGGTATCTTCGCATGTTTTCAGAGTCGATTTGTCGATTGATGTTTTTACTCTTACTTTCACCTTCACTTCCACTCTCACCGAGCGTCCGCCAAGACAATTAGTGGTACCTTCGAATTCCCTCTCCTTTGCCAACCGCGTCAACAAAGTAACTTGTCTGCGACTCCATCTCACGTGATGGCGACACCAGCACCGTCCACTGACGACGTCGCGCAAATCCCGGAGCCGATCCCCTGTGCTTACCCACCCGCAAAACCACCAGCGTGAGTCCGAAACAGACAAAGCTATGAGCCCTTACTAATAGTCACAGCCACGTCTACGACACCATCATTACCGTCGCGGTCGGACCCGATGACGCCAAGAAAAAGTTCGAGATCTATCGGGGACTACTGTGTCACTTCTCAAGCTATTTCGATCGCATGCTGAACGGCTCGTTCCGGGAAGCTGGCTCGACCTATCTTCATCTCAAGGATGTCGATGCCGCAACCTTCCAGGTCTTCTACTATTGGCTCAACTCCGGTGTTGTGGACTACACCAGCGGTGACGCATCGACCACAGCCGCTCGAATTTGGCAGAACGCTATTGATGCCTACATATTCGCCGACTTTCATCAGGCACAAGTCTTCAAGAACGCTGTCTTAGACTCTCTCTACCTCTATTACGAAAAGAATAACCTCATGTGCGTCTCGATTACAGGAACACTGTATGCGAACACTGTTGCACATGACGCCATGAGAAATTTCATAGTATGTATAGCGGCTGGAACCTTATCGTTCAAGAGCGTACAAATGCACGGTGGGGCAGAGCTTTGCGAGAAGGCTTTCTTATTCGATGTCATCTTGGCATCTCAGGAACGGATATTGGTTCCGGCGGTTGACGCAGGACTTTGGCTCGCTGATATGCGCAAGAACTTTTGCGAGCATTATCATACATACAAAAAGACGGGGATTTCTTGAGAGAACGGAGAGTCGTAAGCCTGGCTTGTGTACATGGCTTCAATTACAGTGGCTGATATGAGAAATGGTCAAAGTTAGAGTGCGCGATCAAAACAGTATCAGCTTGTCGCCCAGGTTATATGAGGTACTCGAGGGTCACATTGTAAGACAGTTTGGCATGTCTGCTACAAGCCCATATGACGCATATTCTACCGAACCTAGTGCATACACTATAGATGTTCACTGATCATAAGCCGTCTCTGATCAAACTGTCGAGGCAATAAATGTGGTAGCCTTTTACATACCAGAGATACAGCCTCAAAGCATGCACTAAGTCTAGAGGAAAATTGTCTGGTTCGTTATGACCCCATGCATGCTGCCCTTCTATCATTGCGTTCCGTGATCTTGCTATGACGCAACAATGTCCTCGCCAGAATCCAAAACGCAGCATGTATACTGCGCTTTTGTGCTATCACCCATAGTCGAGCAACTGACAGCGTTTCCAGCTAGACATCGAGGGGAGATGACCACATATCGCGGATGGTCGCTACGTTAGGATAAACGCATCTTCACCTTTACCTTCACTTCAGCTTCTCGGCTAGTGGAATATACTGCCTTCAAAAAGGTATTTGGACAAACTTAGCGTCTACAAAGGCCTTCATCAACGGAAGCTACACTCACATCGACGACGATACTTCTAACACAGTCATAATGAGCAATCCATCAATACTGTGCGCACACCCGTGGACCGCGCCTACCATCACCAACAAGCACGACACAATCCTTATCAAGGTCGGCTCCGGCAGCAATATCCAGCAGTATAACCTACATGTCGAAGCACTCAGAGCGCGCTCGCGACACTTCTATGAGGCTCTTCCCGCCTGCTCAAACGAGGAGCGCACAGCGATCCACCTCGCATGCTCTGCGCCAAAGCGATTCGACGCCTTCACCAACTGGCTTTACAGCGGCAGCCTAGACTCCAGCAACGAAGTCAATGTGAGATACCTCTTCTTATGCGAACTCCACGTGTCTGCCGACACCTTCGATATCCCGCTCCTGCGCAACAAGATTGTGGATGTGTTCTTCAACAAGCTTTTGCGCGACGCCCAGCCACTGCCCTACGACATCATGAACTACATCGAGGAGCATTTGAGGGACTCCGCCCTGAGGAACATGATGCAAGACATCATGTTGAACTGCGGTGAGACGGAGGACATGGCCGAGTGGAAGGTCAACCTTGCGAAGGGCTTCAGGATGGAAGGTGGTAGAAACAAAGACGTCGCTGAGACAATTGGAAGGAATTCAAATGTGAGAGAGTACTTGGTCACATTGAGGGGTAAGGTATGCGAGAAATATCACGAACATGTGGAGAGAGATGAGATGGTCCTGGAACGTGAGGAAGTGTGGTTCTTCGATCCACCTCTAAACTAAGCGGGGAGCACTTTTACATAGTACGAGACGTCCGACATATGGACGACAACGAGGTTGGAATGGAAAGAGTGGGATGCCGTAGTGGAATTTGATCCATGGATACATCCAGTTGTCATATTGTCCATGCGAACAAGTTGATCTAGCTGATCTCACTGAAACTCCGTCGTTGATATTATGACTCTTGACACAGTATAAGATGAGCTTCTGTCGAACTATATACCTTGGTATGAAGGACTGTACTTGCAATGCATGTGCGGAGGTTGTGCATACCTGGGCAGTTCTTTCCAATGTTTGCACTAGCCTAACGCTAGTCTTCGTCGGGTAAGACCCTGATTTCGCCGGCTGACGTCATGAGCTCGCACGATGGAGTCCGACTGCTGTCTCATCTCAAACCGACCTGCTTCAAAGATGATCCATGAACGTTCCTATGGCGCTTGCTAGCCTCTTCTGCTGACGATCGGGGTATATCTGCACAACCGCAGCCATGCAACGCCGCGCAGCGCTTGGCCGCACCAAACAGAGTGTGGCGTACGAAATTCAATGTCGCCCAAAGCACCTTTTTGTTCGGCGCTCGCTGATCGGGGATGGCGTCGTGTTAATTACGCAGGAAGGCGCTAGACAGCGGTATAGGGTGAAGGCAAGCGCAGCCAATCGCGTGTAAGTCGGTATATAACAAGACCGAAGAAGGGCGGTGATGAGTCCATGGAGTACACCGCAAACGGATCCTTCCGGTCCTTTAGTAGCTCGAGACTGCTAAGACACATGTCGCAAAATACAACTTCTTGACAGCGTCGTTGCCTTTAACGGAGATTGAAGCGTACCTTGTCTAGCACGCGGCTGATGGGCACAGGCTTCTCGTTCACAAAGGAAACCTCGGAATCGGTACGTTCCTCTACGAAAGAAGCTCGAGATGCCGGCGGCGATATCTCCGGATCAGCCGAACGCATCGTCAGCCATTGGGTGACAAGCATACCGAGACAGACTGAACTATGCATCAGCGTTTGTTGACCACAAGGGGCGAATCGTGAACTTACTATCAGCGAGGCACATGAGCAGACAAGCGTGGCTCATCTTGGCGAAGTTCCAGGCGAGAAACAGGCTATTGTTGCACAAAGTGACAAACAACATGAAGCCTGAGCCAACAACATTTCGAACCAGCATGACTCGCAAATTGTTCCGAGAAGATACGGCCCGTCGTGTTCCTTTCATCCAAAGTCGGAGTCTCTGCATTGAAGAGCCAGTTGATGTACCAGCAGTGTCGCTTGCGAAACTGAATATCCTAGGTGCCGATGAGCCCAGTGCTGGTCGAAGCTGCCAGACGAAGATTCCCGTGAGAACAGTGTTCATTAGGATGTCCAGCACGATGATCGCAATCGTAGCCGGCCGCTCGATGCCTATCTTGCATTCACCTGTCTGGTGGTTCAAGATGGCCATTGGGTTGACAAACTGCCATCCCATGATCGCGAGGAAACCACCCGTGACAAAGATCCCTCCGAAGACATACAGCATATCCCTTGTGCGATCCACAAAGGGAGCTCGTACGATATGAACGCGCTCTAGCAAGAAGAGATATCTGTATGTGGTTCAGCATCCAGGTTTTGGGTGAGCGTCACGCACGAGTAAACACTTACAGTGCTATCTTGTCCGCGCTATACATGGCGATGCAGACTCGTATGGCAGCATGACATTGAGCATCCGTTTGCAGACCCAATCCAGCTACCTGTATGGCTGTGGCAAATAAAAAGGCCGAGCAGATGAAGCCTTGTGCGAATACAAGTACATCTGACACCCGAGTTTTGGACTTCTGGCCAGCCATGCGGCCTGCTCGATACCCTACGAAGCGGTTAGCAGAAGTTCTGAGCGACCTCTGGATGCGAAACGGTCAACATAAAATTCGAATGCACTTACCCTGGGCCAGCGCGAGAACAAATGCAAACAGTATGCATATGATGATCACTGTAACGCGATGTGGTGGCAGCTCGTCCAGGTTGACATGTTTGTGGCTTTCGTCCCGAGTAACAAGGAAAAGCGGAGACATTGGCTGCGCAGCCACACCAGCGATGGAGATTTGCGCAAAAGCAAATAATATCGCAAAGGTAGAAGATCGCATCAACGCTGCCAAGGTGTCCGTTGAGACATGGGGAGTGGTCTCACGACATATAGGTTCACGAAGCGAGCTCTGATCAAGTGTTCAAACTAATTTGCGTATTACGCCGTGGCAAGACTTCTCACTCAACATCAATCAATCACAACACGGTATATCCTCGATCTATCGGATCGTAGGGCAATATGTCAAGGGCTAGCGCATCAGTGGACGAGTCACCGCTAAAGCTTACTTCAACGGTTCCGACGAGGGGAAGCTGGAGGCAACTCCGTAGCGCCGAGCAGGCACCCCGAAGCGAGCCTTCCACGCGCTATTGTGCGGAGACGTTGCGCTACAGCCCTACTACTAGACACCGTTGGGCTCTAGAAGTCTTGATCCGCTGGAGAGTTTTGACCGCTGCTTCATGAGATGCAGAAGTCGCTTCAGCCACATGTTTGCGCCTCCAAAACGACCACCGTGAAGGCTCTGGTTTCCAAATACCATGGTCGCATCTGAACGAGGCTATGCGCGTAAGCTTACGGCGACGAGGTCCGGAGATTCCAAGAGGCTTGAATCTCGGGTTGGGAAAAGGACCGGATGCCGCACGCCCCGGGCTTATCATCCAGGGCTGATACAGAGAGAACCTTGGAATCTTGGAAACCTTCGGGACGCGCCCTTATCTCTGGACCCTCGCAATATCCAGCAGCCATGTCATCCCGTAGTGGTAGCCTTCGTCATCGTTGGTTTCCGCTAAGTTCCTTCACATGTTATGGCTGTCGTTCCGACTCCGCCTTAGCTATGTCACGATGCAGAACAGACACCATGTAGTGTATGTTTCCTAGGTCGCTCCACTCATTTTGCCTCCCAATAGTCTAACTAATCAAGTGTTTGCAAACTGCAATAGGGTTTCGGTCTTCTTTTTGGGCGTGCTCGGACGAAGAAGACCGGGATATCTGGAAGCCGTCAGAGGTGAGTGAAGGGTCTACCATGTACCCCTCAAGTATCTTCTGTAAATGAAATCAAACCCCCAAGCCCTTTTAATGGCCCTGGGCAGAGACATGTAATCTTGCCAAGGGTACTAATAAGGAACGACAAGCCCAGCCTCCCCTATCGGCCGTACCCTTCACTGCGCTGGGAATTTACCTGCGCAATATCTATATTCATTTAAATGTTGTCCCACGAATGAGAAGTCTGACAGAAATCCGTGGCAATCACTATGTATTCTTTGACTGTGGCCGCCGCCCTTGTGACTTATTTGACAAAGACAAATGGGTGATGATCATCTTTGGCTGAAAGTCGTCTCCATGGCTGGCACATGATCCACTGAGCAAGGTAGTATGGTCGGTAGATGAAAATATAACGCAGATGCAGCAGAGCCACAAGCAGCAAGTGTCACGTAGCATATCATTATGTGTTAGCATGGAGCGCAGGTTAATATGCGTATAAGGGTTAGTGTTTGTTTGGTATTTGTAGAGTACCTTGCTGTACATGGTCGCGTTTCGCTTGT